CAATGGAGCACATCATCTGAAAGCTCTTAGTGGGTTAAAAATAAACTGCAGCGCTCCACAAGCAGGGAGTGGTGATGAGTGAATGAATAGACAGAATGAAAAGGCAGAAAAAGAGATAGAAAAGAAAATCAAGCTTTGCTTTCTGGGAGGGAGCTAGAACTATTCTTTGTGTTCAGAGTATTCAGGGATAAAGTTTACTCTCTTTGTTCCTCACTTTCAAATCTTTGTGTATGAACTTTCTTACTCTTTTTAGGTCTTACTTTTTAAAGCTTGGCTACCCATCACCTTCTTAACCACACATTTTTTCCTTTTAAGGAGTGAGAGAATGAGAGAAGGGGGGGGGCTGAAGGACACACTCAGGTCTGCTGACTGATAAACAGACTCCTCTTTGTGCAGTCAGAGACAGACAGACGTGCACACATGCACACACTTAGTTACATATTGACAGGGACCTCTGAATGATTTGGCTCCTCATGATCATGTGCCCCCCCCCCTTTCGCCCTCTTCCCTCTTCCCCCTTCATCTATTAATTTTATTTCTTTTTCCCCACTTAATTGAAAACAGAAGAAATTGAAGTATTTAGTTTTTCCTTTCAACACACACATGCATGTCCGTGTGCACAGGCACACACACACAAACACAGACATAACCTCCCCCCCTCTTTTTTCATCATCTCTCAGTGCCAGGCAGCTGTTGGGGAGACGAGGGGGAGTTATTCCGGGAAGTGTGTGTGTGTGTGTGTGTGTGTGTGTGTGTGTGTGTGTGTGTGTGTGTGTGTGTGTGTGTGTGTGTGTGTGTGTGTGTGTGTGTGTGTGTGTGTGTGTGTGTGTGTGTGTGTGTGTGTGTGTGTGTGTGTGTGTGTGTGTGTGTAGTGATTTGTTTCCATATAAGAAGCCATCTTTGTGTGATTTAAAACATAAAGGCAGCTGGGATAATAAAACATGTGGATGTTAAGATGTCAGCACTCCACAAGTTTGTTCCCATGTGCATGTGTATGGCATTGTGTGTCTGTGTGTGTGTGTCTACTCTCACATGTGTTCTGCCTCTATCATCTCCTCCCCCACAGTGACTAAGTGTTACAGGGCGCAGTGCTACATGCTCACCACTAGAGGTGCCATTGGCTTATAAATAAAATGGGCTCAGCATGTGGAAACCACCAAGCAGCCATTTTACAATCTCCACACCAGACCCCATTTTATGAATCAGCTATGATGTCAACATAGCTAAGCCTGATTCTATTGGCTAGAGCGCAGCTGCCACTGTAGCTGTAATAGTGTGGCTGCACGCACACACACATGCTCCCTTCCCAGCTCCATCCCTCCAAGATCAACACACACACACACACACACACACACTGACCTAGTGACACAATGCCTTAACTAGGTTCCTCATCTTGTTAGCTAACAGGATTCTTATTCTTTGAGATAATACAGGGTCTTTTCTTGGTTTAAAATGAGGCGGTGGTGCTACCTTATACATGTGCAGATGTACTGTGCTTACTGGCTCCACACTTTGACAAGCAACATCAGGGATTCTAATAATTCTATAATTGAAGATAGGTGAAACCTAATGTATTATACAAACTCATGTGCCCTGTTCAAAATTAAAATCAATACGACATAAACCCTAATGTTTTTAAATCCACGGTTAAAACCAAGGTGTTGGATTAAATTAAGTCTGGTTATCCTCCCCCTGGAATTGTTGAGCATCAAACACTGTAATTCTTGTATTCTGGTGTTTTTTTTGTACACCATTTTGGCAAAAATTATTTATTTATTCTTGTTTTTGTAAAGGTACATGATTTCATGTAAATAATAAATATCTTACTTCCTGCCTGGATGTTAGATTTCACATTCTATCAGATTTAAAGTGTTGTCATTCACATGTAGTCTGATGATGAACATGAAGGACACAAAGAGAAGTTAATTCTTCACCTGAGCTGTTTTATCTTCCTACAGAATTATTAATTATCCAGTTGTTAAAGGTTTTGGGCTTCTTTATGCTTTGATTGTAGAGACAGTACAGTAGTCCTACAGTACCACGGGTCGGACCTGCACCCGGACTACCCGCCTCGAGGGCTACAGCCCCCGAACATGGGTTTTGCTATCCTACTTGTTTTTATCATTCTTCAAGTTTTTTCTTCTGTGGTATTTCTACAATATGTAGACCCGGCCAATTAAACTGATTCTGATTCACATCGCTGTAACCAAGACGTGATGACACTGAATATTTAACAAAAAATATTTATATGAATTATACTCTGACCATGACAGAGAGAGAGAGAAAGGGAGACAGAGAGCATATATGCATATGGACTGAAGCGCAGACACAAAACAAAAATGGAACATTTAATCATGAAGCCTTGTGTTTCTCTGTGTGACTCTCAGGTCTGTCAGTGAAGTTTATAAAGAAACAACAACGCTGCAGTCTGGAGTCTCTAACAGTCACAGCTGTCTAAAATGAACGATCCCTATGCAGACTGAACACACTTTCAGAAATTTGCATAGGTGTTATAATTGAATTGATTGATTATGATTGATTTTAATAATCATTGTCAGAGAAAATGTTAATGGCCGTCGGATATTTGTGTAGGGCATGTATGTACAGCAGTGTAGCGAAGAAAACACAAACACTCTCAAAGAAAACTTACATCTTCCTCTATCGCTTTTCTTTTTTTTTTTTGTTTAGCAGCGCACTGGATTGTTTCAGATACAGCGCTGCCACCATATCCACATAGAGCTGTAACTGCAGTTAGAAATTCACCAGGTGCTGTACTACTCACTGTAACTGTAAAACTAGACTCAGAAAACAGACGTTGATGAGGGCCAGGGTCAGTAGGAAATTTCAACTTTTGAATGCAGGAAAAACACTTAACATATACTGTTCAGATTAGACCTTCATCTATTATATATAGATGTGTGCCTGTTTGTTCTTTACAAGTTTGTTTGTTCATTATTGTAGCAATGTGAGCGCGGAGATTTGAATAGGTTAAAGCTTACACTGTTTGTGGTAGTAAATGAAACATCACTACATCTCTGTCTTCACTTTAAATGTTTGAGTAAATGAATGATTTTGATCTGGCTCCACGTTTTTGACTCTGTCCTGAGATGTTGATTTATAGATCCTTGTCACTTCTGAGCCTTTCAGCTGTGACTGGCTTTGTGTATGTGTTTGGTGAAGATATCTGTGTTGTTTCCTGTCAGATGTCCTGATGGCTTTTCCTGCCCATGTGTGTGCGTGTGTAATGGTTGACTTCCTGCGATGCTTTCCTGCTCTCAGCAGGGACTATAGCGTCAGTGTGGGACACACAATAGTGTTGCTGATTCATGGTGCTGATACACAGCTGATTATACTATCTAACACAAATGATACGCAAACAGGAGAGGTGAAGTGTTAAAAAAAAAAGGTCCGCTTGGCTTGAAGTTTGAGTCTGACTTAAGACGTAAATGATTGTGATTCTGGGAGAGGAGTTTCACTGACCTGAAGCCAACTCTGAGTGAAACAATGGGACTTATTGAGGCCACAGTGCTCTAGCTGACTGTCTGTTTTGTGTGCATGTGTATGTTCTAAATGAATGAGATGAGCAGCTCATTAAGAGGCCTGGACTCGTTAACAGACTGCCGACACGTTGGCCTCTCAAACAGAGACAAAGAACTGTTTGACTGCACATATGGAGGGATGGAGAGACGGATGAGTGACTTGTTATGTTGACTGTCTCTGTTGAGAATACTTGCAGTGTTGCTGTTTGAATGAACTTGAATGTGGACTTGTTGTATACAAAAATTGGAATGACAGTGAGCAAGTGAAATGTGCAGCACAGAAAGCTGTGATGGGGTTAACCTATATATTCATGTCAAGTTAATACAAACAGTTGAACAGTTCTAACTTTGTCTATTTCCACATTTAGTATTTTTTTATTTTATTTTATGGTTACCATTGTATCGGTCCAGAAAGACTCATCTGTTGTCGTGAGACACTTTATTTTAGCTTCTGACATCATTACATGAGGTCACAACCCGGCAGAGGAAACAGGTGAGCTGCTCAGCACAGGGGATTCTTTTTTATTTTCTATTGTTTGTTTCAAACAGCACTTTAAAAAGAGGGACAGTGTGCTATTACTGTACACACTGACACTGTACTGGCACCCAGTTTCCAGACGGTGATTCTTGTTTCCTGTTACTGTCTGTCCTTTACATAAGCAATGGACATACAGAGAATTAGATCAGTGACAATCAAAGTGTTAGTTAAGTTATACAAATGTACAAAGGGCTGATGAGTTCCTAGAACATCTTTAAATGATAGTAGTAATAAAATAAATCTTTCACCATTTGAATTTGCACAATTTTAAACCAGTAAATGTTCATGCGCACTTCCGACATTTTTTTTTTACAAAAGATTTAAGCATCAACACTGAAAAGTGTTTGTTCTGTTCTTTCAGACGAATGTTAACTTGACAATGAGTGGTTAGGTATTATTTGCAGAAACAAACAAACAACAGTGACATCCAGTACTCTGCTGATCTTAGATCAGATGTGTCCGTGCACACGGTGGGCTGCTATGTGGTCATGTGCTTGTTCATCTTTCACTCCGTATTCTCATCCGGTGCACATTCACCCCCACACACTGACAGATCCTTACAGTCACAATCCTGACCTTGTCAGAACAATAAATGCAAAGTGTTTTTATAAACTGTGTATGTGTGTGTGAGTAAGCTCATTGCAAACTTTAAATGTCTTGCAGCTAACAAACGTCCAACCATATTTACCAGGCTTCCACACATCATGGACACATTTCCCCTGGTGATAAAGCCATTTCATAGAGTTCAGTCTTACCTTAGGCCACTGATACAATAACCCTAACACCTTCATGACACCATACAGTTGGAAGAGAGTGATACAGTGAAGGCTGTGCCAAGTATGTCAGCTTTCAGCCGTCACATATGCCCCCCACCCATCAAATCGTTCTGCTTTAACTGCAGCTGCTTTACTGTGATTTCTAAGCAAGGGTCCTCTTTCTTCTGTCCTTCCTGAATGTAACCATCATTTCTGCCATTCTCTTTCCTCCTCTCCAGCCAAGGACCAGGATGGTGCGGATGACAAGAAGCTGGTGCAGAAGAAGAAAGTGAGGGAGCTTAAGGTCATTGACTCCAAAAGTTCACAGAACCTGTGTAAGTCTGAACATATTGATACCCACATACCAATACCATCTTTCCATGCATTTAATGTTCAACTTTATTGTAAGAAAAAGATTTACACTGAATCCTATTTGGATAATCACTTTTTATCGTGTTTACTCATTCAGCCATTTTCCTCGGATCGTTTCGTCTCCCTTATGAAGAGATCAAGAACGCCGTCTTGGAGGTTAATGAGAAGATCCTAAAAGAGTCAATGGTTCAGGTACAATGCTCAGATCTGTCCTGTTGTTGCTTAAAATGAATCATGTTTTTACAAGAGATACCAAACACACCGAAACTGTTAGTCATTTACATTTTCCTTTGATTGCCATGTAGAACCTGATCAAACAGCTACCAGCACCAGAGCAGCTGAGTGTCCTGGGAGAGATGAAGGACGAATATGAGGATCTGGCTGAGGCTGAGCAGTTTGGAGTAGTGGTGAGGAATCACACGCGTGCGCACACACACACACACACACACACACACACACACACACACACACACACAAATGAAATACAGTAAAAATAAAAACCTTAATTGTTTTGGTCAAATCTGTACAGTCTGGATTCCCACCTGACTTGGAGATGACTAACCACTAACATAGTGAGGAAATCAGTGTAAAGGCAGATGAAGTAGCGAAAATATTAAACTACTGAAATAGAGTCATACCGTGGTGACTATATTAGACACAGCAAATCCTCAGGCTGTTACACACAGGCTTCTTTGTTCAGCAGTGGAAGATGTGAGTAATAGATAAAATCCCCTAATTCTCACACACGCACACACACACACACACACACACACACACACACACACACACACACACACACACACAGACGTGATGTATGTGGTGATGTATGTGTAGCAAACTTATTAGTAATGGGTCTTCAATCCCTTGTCCCTCTGCTTTTTTTTTCTCCCAGATGTCCAGCGTGAAGAAGTTGATGCCACGGCTTCAGGCCATCTTGTTTAAGCTGCAGTTTGAGGAGCAGCTGAACAACATCAAGCCAGATATAGTGTCCGTGACAGCAGCCTGTGAAGAGCTCAGGAAGAGCCAGACCTTCTCTAAGCTGCTAGAGATCATCCTGCTTGTAGGGAACTACATGAATTCCGGCTCCCGCAATGGAAAGGCGTTCGGCTTCTCCATATCGTACCTATGCAAGGTGAAATGAAGTGTTATCATAGCACAGATGCAATAAGAACTGAATGAATATGCTTGAAAAACCTTTAGTTTTTATGAAAGAGGACAAGAGTGGACACACTAACATGTAGTAGATGACATGAAATATGAGTCTCATAGCATTGAGGCTGTTAAATTACCAGTGCCCTGCCTGTACTGTGATCACAGGGAGATAAGGCCCAATCATTTCTCTGTCCATATTATGGCTTCATTTAGAGTGAATAGAATATTAAATCTAAATCTAATCCCATGCCACATTCTTCCCTTTATAAAGGTGGGTGAAGAGAGAGAGAGATACCTGACATGAGTCCATATGTAATTAGACAATAACATGCAATAGATTTCCACTTTGTTTGTTTCTTTTCGACAGAAGCTTTATCGGAAAGTGGATAGAGATAGAAACTGGGATGAGAGAGAGGGGAATGATGTGCAGCAAAGGGCTGAGGGTTGGAATAGAATCCAGGCCACCAGCTTTGAGGTCCATAACCTCTGTACAAGGGGCGCATGACATAACCATTAGGCTATTCAGCATCCAATGTAGTCTTATTTTTTGCAATATTGTAATAAGCAGCAAAAATGCATAGACCAGATTGACTTAATTGGCACATGTATTTAAAGTAACTATCAAATGTGTAAATGACTGACAACACAGGCATCCTTTTAAAAACCTTTGATCGATTGCCTATGACTATTCAGTGTTCACTTTTTAAACCAATGCTCTGTCCAAACAGCTGCGTGACACCAAATCAGCTGATCTGAAGCAGACACTGCTCCATTTCCTCGCTGATGTGTGCCAGGAACAGTATCCTGATGTCATGGGCTTTGCAGACGAGCTCATCCATGTGGAAAAAGCCAGCAGAGGTACATAGAACATCGAAGTGATCAATATGCATCTCTTTCCCTCCAAGAGGTCATCCATCATGATCTCTGGTTACACTTCAAATTCATGTTGATGACATACAGTGCACTCTTGTTGTAGATGTATAAAGGTGTATGAACGTAGGCGCTTTGCGTCATTAATGCCTCCGTTATGTACCCTGCAGTTTCTGCAGAGACACTTCAGAAGAACCTGGAGATGATGGGCCGTCAGATGAAGAGCCTGGAAAAAGATTTGGAAACATTTCCTCCTCCACAAAGTGACAAGGACCTGTTTGTGGAGAAGATGTCCATATCCATTTATTCAGTTACATATTTAATGAATTTTCAGCAAATGCCTTCAAAGTCTCATTTTTTTTGTATTTTTTTTAATGAATTCTAGATTTGTACAGATACTCTGCTGCTATGTTCCTTAACACCATGTGTCCACAGTTTTGTTGGGAGCGCCTCTGAACAGTATGAGAAGCTGGATCTGCTGCATAAAAATATGGACAAGCAATTTAATGACCTGGGAGAATACTATGTCTTTGACCCGAAAAAAATCTCTGTGGAGGAGTTCTTTGGCGACCTCAACACCTTTAAAAATATGTTCCAGGTGTGTTTGTGTGGATGGAAATGTACTAACGCATGTCAGATCTGTTGAAAAAGAGCACAGGTGTTGTTTTCAGTCCTAACTGACCCCTTCAAAGTAGACAAAGATGAAAGACAAACCGGGAGGCTGCACCTGTTTGTATTGACATAATAATGAATAAGAGGCACTCCACTATATTGTCAGTTTATACATCAACTGTAATTGTATTTTTTGGGAGGGTCCTTCCTGGAGATAACTTGTTTTACCAGTTACTGTGGATAACTGCCATCAACTGGTTTTAAAGTTCTGTTTACATACACACATCACACATCTGTCTCCTTGATTTTTATACTTTCCTTATCGCACGAAGATTCCCTCACGAATCCCTCAAACATGTACTTCATGCTTTTCCTTTTCTTATACTCTCATCTTCACCCACCAGCAAGCAGTGAAGGAGAATCAGAAAAGGAAGGAGGCTGAAGAGAAGATCAAGAGGGCCAAGCTCGCCAGGGAAAAGGACGAGAAGGAAAAGGAGGAGAAACTTAAGAAGAACCAGCTGCTTGACATCAATGCAGGTCACTATTGCTCAAACATATCTGTTTACGTTTGTGTGAAGGAGAGAGAAATCCTCCATGTTTCCCAGTTTGTATTTCCCTCAGACTCCAGTTGGGGGCAGTCAGAGTCCACACTTCTGTGGGGTGTGTGGGTGTGTGTGTGTTTTGTGTTTTGTGTTTTGTGTGTGGGCCTAAAAGAGCAACCCATTAGAATTTATAGACCAGAGTTAATCTTATGCTGATGACCTGTGTTTGGAAGTAAGTGAGTGACAATAAGCTCCACAGAAAGTGAGGACAAGGAGGATACACTCAAGAAGCCTCTGGACCTTTTTTCATTCCTCTGGGGAACGAGGGATTTGTTTCCATAAAAGCAAACTGAAAGAAGTTCTAAATCTCTTTATCACCAAAAACACATTTCCACTCTTCAATAAGATACTGTTATACTTGTAAAAATGTCCAGAAGCATATTGTCCTGTGTACACACACACACACAGTCTCACTCTCATCCCCTTATACACACTTTCAACACTCAAATCCTGCCTTGCAGACTTACATTTATGAAGAGGCACTTTTCCCTCTTCTCTCAGACTGTGACCTAGTTTCAGTGCATTCCTCCTCTCTCTGGCTACAGGCGAGTTCTCCTGGGACTCTACAGCTCCTCTGTCAAAATGCACTACAGCTCTACACTTTAGCTCGTTCTGTTTATTTTTATGTACATGTGCTTAAAGGCTACTGTGTCCTATTATTGTGAATGCCTCTGTTTTGCTTTGCTGATGTTTTGAAGAACCCTCGTGTTTAAAGTGTTTCTGCAGTGTGTGTGTGTGTGTGTCTGTGTGTGTGTGTGTCTGTGTGTGTGTGTGTACATGGGCAAAAATGTGTATCAGTGTATCTGTTATGTGAACATTTTACAAAAAGTCTTTCTAGCCTTTCTCCTACTGCTCCACGTTCCAGCTGGCTTCTCCACTCCTCTCTTTCTTGCTTTTGTTCCATCACTCCGTCTTCTTTTTCCCCCTTCCCTCCCCTGTTTGTGTGCCGTTCTTTTTAAAGGGCACTTAAAGAAACAGGGAGCACTGAGGGTGTCCTTAGAATATTTTGTCTCGTTGTTAAAAGTATGGAGCAGACATTTCGTGGTGGGAAAGAAAGGTAGTCAGATTTCGTGTTCAGTCTCTAGAGGCATGCACGAATGGAACATTATAGTGCTTGAAAGATGTGTGTATGTCTGTGCATTGAGAGGCTGGGGATCATTTACGTACAGGTGGCATATTTGACTGCTCTTGTAGTCCAGAGTCATTTAACATCCCCCTATTTAAATTCATGTCTGGCATACACACCTGTCCTTTGTTCTGTATTTGCTTATAACGCTCATGCTGGATGACTAGTATACAAAGGTTTTTTATAGGCTGCACTTTTTCTCTCTTCCTTGTCCCCCTTTCTGTTGGACATTCTCACCCATGTACTCAAATACCTTTACAATCTCATGAATTCTCTCAATATTCCTCTTTCTCACTGTCTGTCTCTCTAAACATAATATCCCACTTGTTGTTTAGAGCCAGTGAAGGTCAGTGTGTGTTTGCAGTTTGTGGCCTTGTCATTCCTGTGTGAGTCAGACAGACAGACGCTCCCTTAGTGGAGCCTCACATGCTCCTTCCATGTGATTGTAGTTGTAGTAAAAAAAAAATATCTTTTGAGATTTTTATCAGACTATTATTTATTTCATATTTTGTTATCTAATCGTTAACTTCTATTTTTGGCTTCTTTTTGCTATGAGGCACACAGGAGTTGAAGACTTTGGCCAGAGGATTAGCAAAGTACCTAATTCACATCCAAAAGTCCACACTCACTGTCTTTACTCCAAGTCAAGTCACATCTTTGCTCAAATAATTTTTAAGAAATATTACCTCCTCCTGAACTGAAAATCCAGTCCCTTGCTGTCATACATTTTCTTTTTGGATATATGCCAGACTGCCTTCAAACCAGCCTTTTTTCATTTCTGCAGCTAGGTGTCAGTGCTGCCTGTAAAAGATTGTTGGAGGCTGTGGGTTCTGACATTTACTAAAGGGTGTGTGCATGTGTGCAGTTCACACACCCTCTCAGATGCTGGTATGGGAACTGCCACCAGGAGTGCTCGTGCTCCACAGAGCGAACAAGACAGAGAGCGTGTGGGGGAGGGGAGTGAGGAAGGAGTAGGGGAGAGAAGCAGATGCTCTCTTTGGGATTAGACTGTTGTTGTCTTTTTGAAAATAGGGTTAGAGGAAGAGAGAGTAAAAATAGATGATGGAGGGGAGCCTAGCTCTCATAATGTCTCACTCAGGCAGCTGTAGGAGAAGAGCACAACTACAGGAGAACAAAATATAAAATGGGGCTTCAACCTACTTCAACACTTTGTTTTCCTCTTTTTCCATGTCTTTCCTGTTTTCGGCCTGAGATACCTGTTGTCTTCAATTTTTGTAAATCTTTCTTTTCATGTCCTTTTGTCGGTTGTTGTGTGAACATCCATTAGGGGTGCTATTGCTCATCACAAATGCTGTCCACCCTTTGTGTGTGTGTGTGTGTGCGTGTGCGCGCGTGCGCGTGTGTGCGTGTGGGGGTGTGTGTGTGCGTGTGTGTGTGTGTGTGTGTGTGTGTGTAGGCCTCAACAGAGACATCTTTAAGAGCTCATGATCTAATGCTATTACTCTAATTAATCCATCTTATGTTCTTACTTGCTCCAGACAGTACCTCACTGTTTCTACCACGCTTGTAGTTATTTGTGAGTGTGTGTGTGTGTAGAGGATGTGTGTTCAATCCATGCCTTTGCTCTGACGTTGTTGAGTTTGATTTTGCCAGCACATGTTATGTGGCCATTTCAATATTGAGTGTCAGTAATGGCACCATTGACTAGATATCTATTTAAAAAATAATCATGTGCTTTACGAAGAGCACATGATTAACAAGTGATTGAATCCAAGGGTTTTCCCCACTTTTTCCAGCCATATTACTTATTCAACAACAAAGCAAACATTGTTAAGTTCCTGTTTGATAAATGGGACACAAATAGCTTATTACATAGTGTTGCCTTAGGCTGCACTCACATAAAGACACTACTGAGCTGTTTTTATGATGTTTTTCAGTGCTCTGTTCCAAGGATGTTTCAGTTTTAATTGAGTTCACTCGGTCAACAAAAACCCTGTTTTATACACAGCCAGGTCATTATTTGGTTTCCTAATTGCCTCAAGTACATATTCACAAATAGGTTTGTGTCTCTGTGTCCTTCCACTTGTGGTGTAACCCAACCATGTGATTAGTGCGAGTGGAAATGTGCCAGATGTGTTTCCCCGGAAGGAGGAAAACATGGCCTACATCACCCTGATGTATCTGTGCAGTTCCAGGACATGACATTGAGGGGTGTATGTGAGCTGTGAAAAGGCTTGGGAGTGTATCAGACTTTCTCTGACGTGACAGGCGAGACAACAGGCCATCTGCTTCATGGCTTACTGAAGGATTAAATACTGAGCATGTATCCATGTGTGTGTGTGTGTGTGTGTGTGTGTGTGTGTGTGAATGTGTGTATGTGTTTATAAGTAGTACTATGTGTGTGTTTGGTTTTGGGGGTTGGGAAGGTGAAGACATAAACCTTTAACCCACAACCTCACTGCCCCTTTTTGAGACCCCTGTGTCTCTATTTAGGTTCAAAGAAAATAATTAAAACCATCTGCCCGAGTGCTGAGCTGTGCCACTGAATCCTGCCCACAGAACAATCATGACTACGCACACACACATAAACACACTTGTACACACTGTGCCCCCCTCACACTTAGTCTGGCCCCCATTCTGTGATTTAAGCCCACCACACTGAAGTCTGTGCAGACTATGTGAATGTAAACAAAGACCAATCGGCATGTACACATACACAGGTATCAGGTTTCTTTCCAGTCAGCACCCTTTAAACTGGAAGCCACACGACTCATTCTTGCTATTTTATTGTTCAGGAGACCGTACTTGTGGTCTCAGTGGGTGTGTCATTCTGATGATGCTGAATTTGTTTAGAGGTTATATACCCCTAAAGATGTGGTGTGTAGCCCCTAGATGTGACAATAGCTGAATTAGGTCACTGACTATGTAGGTTAATGTAGCTAATTTGCTTAAATGGCCACGTGGCTGTTAAATAACCCCTTTGCCCACCAGTGTGTTGTTGTGCGTGAGAGAATCAGAGATAGGGTTAAGATAAACAAGCAATCCCTCCAATGTTGTTGGGGGAAAAATGTGCACATCTTTTAGTGTTGTATTGATTTTCAAAATACCATTTATGTGATGTAGTTGTGTGAGTGTGTGTGTAAGAGAGATGTAAATATTCTTGAAATGTGAAGTTAAAATTATTGTTTTTATTGCTGTGTTTACAGAGGGTGATGAAACTGGTATCATGGATGGCCTGTTGGAGGCGCTGCAGTCGGGAGCTGCTTTCAGAAGGAAGAGAGGACCTCGACAAGCAGGTACACATACACAAGCAGAGCAGTCAATCTTAACAAAACATGCAGATGTTTGAAAGTCTTATGTCTTACTTGATTTACAGATTTCAGTTTCTTTCTTACACATTTGTGGTATGCATACTACGCTGAAACACATGTAGCAGAGGAGCCTCGTTCCATCTTCCTCTCTGTCTCCATGTTTCTCTCAACCAAAAACAACAGCTTTGTTTGTGTTTCCTGGTTTCTCCTCCATCTGTTGCTGTGGGTTGTGTCAGTGTCTCTGGCCAGGGTTACAGAGGGGGGAAAGCCAATTCCACCAATGGCTGGCATGAGCACAAAAGAAGAGGAAGGCTGCCAAAGGTTGGGTGTGGGCAGCTGGGTAATTGAGAGAAGAACAACTGGTGAGGGTGTAGTTATGTAAAGGAAAAATAACAGGAATATGAATGTAGCACTGAGGAGGACAAACCAGAGTGTGTGCAGAAAGTTCAATAAGTGGGATTGCTGAGTGGGCAAAAGGCAAAACATTTAAACAACTGGCTAAAGCATGAGGAAAATACAAGCCATATAGTCTCCCTCCACTCACAAATGTGTTGTGCTTGTTCATACTTCACCTTGATGTTAGACTTTTTCTGCACAGTAAGTGCAGGGTTGTGAGGTTCCCTTTTATGCGTATCTCTTTGAAAGGGTTTGAAGCATCAGCTACTTTTAATGTTCTTGGGAATTCAATAGTATCCAAATGATCAGACTCAACCCTTTTTCCATTTTATTTTGTTTTTGTGAATACTTTGCCAGCAAGAAATCCATGACCTGTATATGAGTACATATTCCTGTGCACAACTTAAGACTGTATTGATCTTCATTCAGGACATGTTGTTCAGTCTGGAAGCTCATAGAGGCAAGCGATAATCAGGTTAGCTGTCTCTAACACTGCCCAATCCACTTACATTCCCTTGTTGCAGAGATTTTTTTTCTCTCTTCTTTGTGTTCTGTTTTGTACATGAAGCACATTTTTAGAATAAAAAGGATTTGGTAGGACCATGCAAATAAAATGAGGCAGTGTAAGTTGTTGAAATTTTAACTTTGTAACATGATACCTTTTGTTGGGAAGTTTTTGTGCAACTATGTGAGTGGGAAAGTGTCCAGTGCCCATTAACAGAGAGAGAGAGAGAGAGAGAGAGACAGTGTGAGTGTGTGTGTTCACATGCACTATTGTGTAGGTTGAGTATTCACACATAAAAGAGGCCCAGGAAGACTGTGTGCAACCCAATACCTCCCCCAATAGAAGCCAGATGTGAAGCGGTGTTGCAGAGAGAAATAGCTCAGAGCCAGAGAGCGACTGTACTCTCCCCACTTCTCTTTTGTTTTCTTTCTCTTAGTGTTTCTTATATGCTCTTAATGTGTTTATTTACCCTGTAAATGTCATTTGCATAGCAATTAAACCGTTTGTGACAAGTGGTCGTCTGTGGTCACACTGAGAAAACATTCTATTGGCGCAAACTTACTTTGATCACAAAAAGCTCAGATTATCACCTCCAAACGGACAGAGACAGCATGGAAAGGAGGAAATGAAGGAAGAGGAAAAGCAGGGGAGAGTGCACTGTAAGAGAAGAAATGGGGCCCATTTGAGGGCTTAGTCAGTCACCCATACTACTGTTTGGCCACCTCATACTCCTAACAGGAAATACCTTAACATGTGTTCATGAGAGAGGCAGAGAGTGCCTTTCTTGTTACGCACACTTGTCTGTGGTAGGATCAAGAAGGAAGATTTAAGTGGTTGTATGTATCAGTGCCTCCTCCCAATCTCCAGTTTGCTCCCATCTTGTCCTTTTTGTTTTCTTTCAGTTCAGGGTTGAATGTTAGGTACTGAGAAGAATGTCAGCTTTGTGGGGATTTCCATTATGTATTTTAAAGTGCCGCTCCTTACCAGTCATCCCCTTTGTATTTTACACTCAGGAAGTGCTGTAACATCTTCCGCCAAACAACAGGAGTGTGTGTGTGTTAGAGGGGCTCTGGCTTAACTATATACATATATAAATATATATATCTGCACTGCTGGGGCAACAGCAGCCTGTAGGAGTATGATTTAAAGGTTGGTGTTGGGGGGGTGTTTTATGCCTTTTTATGCCTTTTTTTAAGAGATAGAACAGTGGATAGAGTCAGAAATAGGGAGAGAAGTTTGGGGAATGACATACGGGAAAGGAGCCACAGGCCGGATTTGAACAGGGCCGCCCACTTAAGGGACAATAGCCTCTGAAAATGGGGCGCACACACTAACCACTAGGCTACGGGACCCCATGAGTAGGATTTAAACGCTCCTTTACCCAGCTCATATGCCATGGAAGAAAGTAATCAGAGTGTTTATTCAACAAGAAGTTTGACATATTAATACTATTCTGCATGCAGGGCAGAAAAGTGGACAAAGAGAAATACATTTGAGTTAAAACTTTGGTTCGTAATGTGACGGCAGCTGAAGGAAAAGTAATTAATCTTCAAAAACTTTGCAGTCAGAATGTGATTAATTGATGGAAGAGATTGTGTTGTGTTCAAATAGAGTTCATAAAACTGTCATTAGTTTGATAAATTGTTGGCTCATCTTTCCATCCTTAACGATATTGAAATAGTATGTGCCATTAGCCTTGAAGCCTTTTGAAACACTTTCATTTACCACATTTAAATGACTTTCCCATGCAAATCAAATGTATTTACGCTTCATTTAAACTCTTGTGTCCAGTGGTATTTGTGGTCAGGTGTCATGTAGTGGGACTGAATACATAAAACAAAGGCTCATCAGGTTGATCAGGACTAATCCTAGTGACATGATGTCTGTTTAAAGATGTATGAGAAAGGACATAATCATACATGTTGTCTTAAAATGTAAAAGTTATGTGAGTACCACAAAGGGACCCTTTTCCTTGAAAATAATGAAGATGATGATTTTCTGAAGGATGGAGATTGGATCTTTATTGTTTGCTATGTGTTCCTGGACTCTTCCACACAGTAACATAAGTTTGGGAGTATGAAGGAGCAGTAAAGAAAGTAAAGTGATTGTTAATTTTAAAACACTTTCACTTCAGATAATGTTGTAATAAGTTTAGATATTTTTACTCGAGTTAGTTGATCCGTTCCCAAACATTATAAATGAAGATTTTCTTCAGTTCAATGTTTCTTTATTTGAATCAAACCTACTCTTCAGTTTCTTTGATCATTCCTGTTTGTATCCAATAGGTTTTCCATGTTGTCTCCACAGTAATTTGTGGAATCTGTTTAATGTGCCTTACTCTCTCTCTCTCGCTGACCGATTTCTCTGTTCATTTTTACAGTTCTAAAACAGACATGCTGGATCATCACTTAAACAGTAACAAATATTTCTGTTTTATCATTGTGTTGTTTATTCTTTTATCAAAGTATGCTCAAGGACTTTTTGAAGGACCCTAATATTTGCGCGATGTAATCACATCTTATCTGACCTTCTACTTTAACAAATCTGGATGCCACAAGTTGTTTTATCAGGCAGCTCATGATTCTGTCTGCATTGAAACACGTTATGTATCAAGAGTTAGCATTCAGCTTGTTTAATTTCTCACTCTAAAAGATGTTTAGAATGTTGATCAAAGATGTTAACTTCCTGCATGTCGCTGGTGAGGTCAGGAGTCCGGAAGAGAAACTGCATTAGGACAAAAAAGTCTGACAGTAACGTCAAATCCTACTTGGCTTCAGGGCCTGAAGGAGCAGACAGACTGACAGACTGGATATCGACGATCACGTTGATAGATTCTGTTCATGTTTTTATGAAGACCAGGAAATCCTCAGCACGCTGCTTTATTTACTGCAATGATTTGAAAGACTGTTATCCATATGTAATCTAGCATCAAAACCATTCAACCTGAATTTAATACGATAACGTCCATCCAGTGCAACATGCCGAGCTCACCAAACTCTGATCAAGCTTTGAAAAAGGGGAGTGCTAATTCAAAAGGAATTTAAATTCTATTAGCGCATTGTCTATTTGCCCACACTAAACCCCCTACTCAACACCTTTTAAAGGCCAATGTTAAGTTACTCCCCGGCATATACAAAACAGATTCTATAAGGAATTACCAGGAATTACCAGTCTTTACATTTCTCAGAGTAGAAAAATTTGTTAGATAGTGTTTCATGTCAATAATATTTAAAAACATTGAATTCAGACATCAGAAGTAAAAATACTCGTATTACATTAACGTGAAATACTTCATGTGGCTTATTTCACAGAGTAGCCCCCCAAACAAATCCATCTCGCATTGAATTGAAAGCCTTTATTGTCATTGTTTAACAGAAAACAACAAGATTAACAGCACGGCTCCATAGTTCCATAGTAACATATCTGAACTTTGTGAAGCTGTTCCATCTCGTCTGAACGTTGTGAAGGAGTTGATTTGGGGACACTTCTTACAGTTCAGTCTGAACGTCTTCAAATTAAGACAATGCGAGCTGAGAATGTTTAAAGTGGCCAGCCAGCTGTCTTTATCAGTGACGTGGATCGGCTACTTCAGGCCGATGTCCGATATGTTTATTACATCAATATCAGACCTGATACCGATATTGGATCAGATCGGTCCCATCTCTAATGATTTCTTATCTTTTTTGAACATTGCTCTGAGGCTGCACTGGTTGCTATCCCACGTTAAAAAGAGACATGCCAAGAAATAACACACTGACAAAGGCTGATCTTCAAATAATAATTTCAACTTTAACTTATTTACAGCACGCATTCAAGGAACTCATTCTTTTCCAAGCACTCATGAAAACTAATACGGTTTGATGACATTTCTAAAATGTGCTCTGATAACCAAGCACTCACACAATAGTTTTGGAGCTAGTGGTCCCTGTTGTGTATGTAAGGGTCTTCATCACATGAAGTGTGTACCTCCTCTTTCTCTTCTCCCCTCACAGCTGTGGTTGGCTATAAACATCATCAACAGGTTGAAAAAGAAGCACTGAGGGCCTATTGAGTGTGTTGTCACGCTCATTGTGTAGCCACGAGGCTGTGGAGGCTGTATGCCCCCTGACCTTTGACCTGCACCTCAGCTCACTGTGTGTGCTTGTGCTGGTTGTGTCGAATGGGCAGACTGCATGTGGTGTCCTCAGCTGTCTGCCCTCAGTCTGTCTGCACCCCCCTTCTAACACAGACAAAACGCACACACACCAGATGCTTGCATGCCAATACAAAGACACACATGCATGTTTGCATACCAATACATAAACCCAAACAGCCACGTCACGATGCAGAAGACAGACGGCCTTGCATACTTTTTCACACACATTCACACTTGACTATTTGCTTTAAATTGTTATTTAGAGTCTGTTTGTGTTTTTTATGAAAATACAGAAGATTCAGTTCGGCTACATTAGGCTAATTTGTGTGCATATGTGTTTAATGTAATTAAAGGGCAGTCGTGTGTAGAGGAATGATGTGGCTGAACACCCATCTGCTGGGTCATGACCCTCTTTCCAGAGCAACCAATCACAGTAGCAACTAGTCACAAAGGGCCAATCACAACAGGGACCCTGAGATAAAGGGGATAGCAACAATAGAGGCACACGCTGGCTGTGAAGAAGAAAAAAAAGACCCCTATAAAGATCTGTTCTCTCACAGATGTTCACACACACTCACACACAGACACAGAGGAGAGATCATTTAGACCAATTGGAACGCACTCATCAATCAGGTCTTTACTGCAGCAGTGGTGATGTCACATGCATACATAATACACTCTGAGACGACAGACCAGTAAGCTCCACATGTGCCCATTTGGGGATATAAAATGCCTGCACATCAATACCATCCCACAAACACAAGCCACTGGTGGTGTTTGATGACGTCACTTTTTCCCCACAGCCTCCCAGTGCAGAGCAGCAGTGTGTTATGCAATACGGCCTGAGGAGGGCGATATTAGTCCCCGCTCAGATAGAGACTCTCATGTAGATCCAGTTTACTGCTGCAATTTCACCGTCATGTTAGCCTGGGCACAGTTAGCATGCTGTTATGTGACCGTTACTTTGCTGCAGCTGCTTTACTTTCAGTGAACCAGTATCAGAAAGATGGCTGCATCCTATTCAACCACTTGCATCACACTCCACATTTGATGTACATTGTACTGTAGGGGGGGTTGTGAGATATTGAAAATATTGTTGCTACTGAGCTACTTCACTTTACCCCTACATCTTGAGCTGCACCACATTTTCAAGACGACAAAGTTTCTCTTTACTGATGTCCTTCTTTATGTGGTCTCCACCTATTAGGGCAGCACACACATAGTGTCCAACAATGAGTTTTTTTCCATCATCAGTCAGTCATTATTTGGTCTCCTGCAGTGCAATGTGTTACAGATGATCTTACAAAGACTAAACTCTTTGTTCCTGATCGCCCCTCACTGTGCAAACATGCTCATTCAGACTCTCTCCCACCAGTAAACAGACCTAAAAACAAGCCTTTGTTGTGAGTCCCGACGTCTCGTTTCCTAGTGCTGCACACACCAGGCTTCATGCCAAGTGCATGGATCATTTGGATAAATTCTCAGCTAGTTTCCTGATACGACACACGCTGAGAGTTTCCAAAGTTTGTAGTGCCACGTATTAAAGGGCTGATCCGGTGTTTTTTCTACTTAAGTTCCACAAGGTTAGAAGGTCTGAAGAGTGATCAACATTGAAGCCAAAGTCCAAAGTGTCGATCAGGTTAGACAGGTTCTTGAGTGACATATGACATTTAATAAGATTTACAATAAGAAGTACTATTCCTCATGTTTTTGTAATATCAAAAGAGAGCTAGTTAAAATGTTTAAAGTATTCTGGACGAGAGGCTAGTTTTTGTCACAGTCACATCTTAACTCTATGACCTGCAAGTCATGTCATTCAGTAGAAGTTAACACAAAGCGCTGACACGTTCTCTTGAAGAGTGAGAGTTTCGATTTCTGTTTTTATTTTTATTTTTGTTGAACATTGTTTCTGTTTGAAAAGCTCTTAACTAAATCTGAAGTGCAGAACTAATTAAAGATAGAGTCAGTAGGTTTTTCCTAAAACATGAAATATAGATTTATACAAAAGTAATGCTGCTCAATCATCCCTTATGGGCATACCTACGTGTGTGCTGACGACTGACTGACGACTGAAGTGGATAAAGCTTGTTCCAAAGCGAGGGTGAACCTTTTGTTGGCTTTTACCCGCTGGCGTGGAGTTGGTCTGCTTGCTTTTAGACAGGCAGGAGCCAAAAACGGACAGGATCCAGTCTCTAGTTGATACACTTCACTGATAAACTCAAGAACTTTTTTTTCTTAACAAGAAGAAATATACAGTGAATATGTGTAATCTTATCCTTTAAGTATTCTAATACTTTATATGTGTGTATCTAAACTTATCAGTATATGGTGTACTCTCCAGAGACAGTTAGAGATGAATTTTAACTGTTTAAACATCAGGAGCTTATCTGCAAATTGAGCTTTTTGTATTAATCTGCAGGTTTCTGTCTTCACTCATCATTTTCCCAAGCTTCCTCCAAAACAACATCCCTCTGATCGTCACTCTTATCCCCCTCGCTCTTCTTCCTCCCTGTCTCCTCTCTCCAGAGGGGAGAGGAGGAGGAAGGAGCTGGGTAGACAGCTTTTGAAGAGCTTTTCTCTGCGGGTTGTTTTTTATTTAGGACACAGTACACACACACACACACACAGAATAACACCCACACTGACGCACACTGTTTTGGGGTCATTTGCATAATTTCTAATTAGTCAGTTTCTGAGCACAGTGGTGTTTGGAAAGGGACAGAAATAGATTTGGAGTCGAAAGTGAGAGCAGACTGAGAAAGAGGAAGCGTTCCCATGTATTGGTGCTCGTATGAAATGAAGAGAGATCTGTGTCTCAAGAGCAAAGTGATGATTTGACACCTGAGCTGATCAGACCAGCTGAGACTCGCAAATAAAGACAAGTCAACTGTGAACATGACTCTAAATCTTCAATCTCCTCTTTCTCCCCAGACTCAATTGTGTCTTTGTCACAGCTAGTTCTGGAGACCTGTTCGGTAACTCTTGTTTTTGTGTGTCTTTGCTGCATAAGAACCATGTGTCAATTGTTGGTTTGTTGTTTTTGTTACCATGGTTTGTTTGCATGCATGTGTTTGCGTCATGATTACATTTTTGTTATCAGTCCACAGAACACATTACATGAATGTTTTTGATAACAATGTGTCCTGTTGTGATGTTAACATTGCATTCATAACCGTATTTTGCATGAGGAATAAAGAGTTGTGAACATACACCAAGCATAACATAACAGCAAACACACAAACACCATCTCCTCACTGACCTATATATTTCAAAATGGCTGCTGCTACACAGCTGTCCTCCCACACAGGAGAGTGAAGAGTGGTAAAGGGTAGGGGGGGGATGAGAGAGAAGGGCAAGGCGGCTGCTGCTGGTATGTGTAGGTGGAGGATGAGGAGGAGAAATAACAGAGTAAGCATGTAGAAGAATAAAAACAAAAACGTCCTCTCTTTTTCTCTCTCTTTGCATCTCTCATCTTCTCCTCACTGAGTGTTTTCTGTGATCTATTTTATGAATTTATTTGTCGTTCCTGACATTCCTCCCCTCTCTCTTTTAATCTCTCCATCCGTGTTGGTCTGATTTTCATTCATCCCTGCCTCTTTAATCTTCCCACAGCATGAATCATCCTGCTCTTCCTGGTGTCTCCCCCTCCGTCTTACCCCACCCCTCCCTCTTTACTTTTGACTTCATTCCCCATCTTTCTGCTCCTTCCTCTTCCTGTGAACGTCACTTATATTTCCTTCCTCTCATTTTTTCTAAGTCTATTTTAGATCATGAGGAGTCTAATCTGACATTAGCATTGAGTTGCTCCAGATATCACACTAATCCACTCATATACACAGCCACACTATAAAGCCATTTGTGCATCTGTGTGTCATGGTATTGCATGTGTCTGTATGTTTGAAAAAAAAAAAGCGAGCATCCATGTTGTGATTTATCATTTTAAAACACAAGCCTCTGGTGTCCTTGGAGGTACATACTTGTGTATGTGTGTTCAGCACAGGCGTCAGTGTGTTGACTAATTGTCTGTTTTAATTTTGCAGTGAAGGTATCTGGCTGCTGATGTGGTTTTGTACTGCAAACTGACAAATATTAATCCTGTCAGATATGTCGCTTCATGGCATGCACTGACATATCTGCGTGGACTTGTTATGATATAAACATGATGTATTTTTTCCCCCCCTTTAATTTTTATGGTCTCTCTCTCTCTCTCTCTCTCTCTCTCTCTCTCTCTCTCTCTCTCTCTCTCTCTCTCTCTCTCTCTCTCTCTCCTAGCCAACCACCGACGAGCTGGTCATGCAGTGACCAACATTCTGGCCAAAGAGCTGATGCAGGAAGAGTCACCCCAATCCAGCAAAGTGCCCGCCAAGAAGAAGACGACAGAGGAAAGTGAGGAGCCTAAACTAGAAGGAGCAGAGTCATTAGAGGAGTTACTTGAGACTGCTCCTACGCGGTCCAATTAAGTTTTTATTTTTTCTACTCCGAGTCGGTGATATCACAACTCGGATGTATTCTGTAGTCATTCCAATGGACATTATCAATCTGAGATTATCCTCCTGCAAAAAGGTCCTTGTTTCTTTCATGCTTGTCTTGGCAGGACCTTCTTTCAGTGTAGCGGTGATGGTGTCTTCTAGGACAACAAGAAGTGGTGGAGGATGTCACCACAGCCTTAAACCCTTAGTTGTCCTTGTCTCGTCAATCTTTGGATCTTTGCCAGTTTCATAAAGATTGAATTCCTTTCTTCAGCATGTGCACATATCTGTTATTGTCTTTCTCTTTGTGAATTCTTGACTTGTGTCACCTGTCATTCATAAAGGGCATCTTTAGCAATTCCAAAGATTAACTCAGGAGGCAGCCACACTTGTTTGCGTTCATTTCCCACATGTAGACTCAGTGTCCTAAATTTGGCACATCCTGCAGGTGCTGCAGAGTTTTCTCTGGATGTTCCAGCCAAGCCCACTTAACAGTTTTTCATATCGTTTTTTTAACCTGTAAATCGTATTATTTTGTACGATATGCTGTATGTTTATGTTGCTGTTTGTAAATGTGAATATTTTTTCTGCATCATTGAAAAAGTGCCAACTATTAGAAATCCAGTCTTGTCCTTTCGCGCACATATTTGTCCAGTCACAGTTTGCACTGGAACGATGTGTGGACCAGTCTTACCAGTCAACACCTGGGTGTTCATTTGATAATTTTTTTTTATGTGAGAAGGGATTGTTTTCACTGGTGTGCATGCTTATGATTCTATAAAAAGGGGAGTGGTATACACAAACTTGTCAAAGCTATCTTACCACACATGCCCACAACAGTTACAGTATATGAAGAAAACCTGCTAATACATATGAGCATTCCCATGAACCAGAAGAAGTGAGAGTAAGATGGAGGGAGGAGGTTCTTCTGCAGTTGAACACGTCAGTTAAACCAAAAAGAAAAGCTTCTTAAAAGGGTGTTTCCACACAACCTAGCCTGAGCAGTTCACATGCCTGTGTTCATGTGCATGAGAATATCTGAGTGTGTGAAGTAAGTTGACTATATTTAGTATTTGTATGTGCGCTGCACTTCCTGCATGTGTGTGTGTTAGTCCATGTAGGTCTGAGTGTGTGCGTGCGTGATGCCATCTGTAATTACTGAACGGTACCGACCGTGCTGTCATAAATGCTAGGTTTCATAAACAGTTTTGTGGTCTTTCTGCTGAGGTTAAAGCACACTGGAAAACTGCCCCCAAACTGCTGAGACAAGTACATGTGTGTGTTCAGTTGTCTGTGTTTTTGTGTGTTTGTGTGTGTTGTTCGCCCACTTTCCCTCCCACTGAACTGCAACAGTAGTTGCTGAATGTCTGGCCTTGCTCTTATTTGTATTCAGAAGCCATCAGTAGACATGTTGCCATGATGTTGTGGTGTAATGTCTGACAGGAATCCTGCGAGATGATGTCAGCTGCTCCATGCAATATTTATTCCTATGCAAACACAATACTGTAGCCAGCCTCAGGATGTAAAAGTGTAAACCTCAGTGCTCTTAATGAACACGCTGATTCTAGATCAGTGCTTCTTACTTCTGGCGATTGAGGAAAATGTGGATCTAAAATGTCCACATTTCAGGATTCACCGACTTTTGTTAACAACGGTAGCATCTATATGAAGTCACTTATAAAATGTAAATGTCTTTTGAGCTGGAGATACGGCAAAAAAAACGAAGAGGTCTTTCAGTTACAGCAGATGTAGAAATCATTTTTTCTGATCGAGTGTATGAGATCCCTTTGAGTCCAGTAACACTGCATATAATCGGACACACACCTGCTTCTTTGATATGTCTGCCATAAACTCACGGTGGACAGTGCAAGGTGATCTGTACCAGCAGATACAAACATGTGGCTGTTTTTCAAGTTCATGAGAAATATTTAAAAAAGAAAAGGATATCAGAATACCACTGGAATATTTGTCTTTTTCTTATTTCAGTCATTCCTTTTTTCCATTTAATTTTTTAAGAGATTGTTTTCTATTTGAATTTTTACAGTTGATTATTTTAATGTATTTGAGTGGAGACAAGACTTCTGTTTCTTTCCAGAGATTGCTCTATATATCCATAACATGCACATAGTCATTGGGTTTGCTGCCACAAAGAACTATTAAAAATGTCTTAAGTCATTTAAGGTTGTCCAGCTCATTCTTTGTCATGTTGAACGTCATTCAACACGCTGAACTGTGCTCGTCGTCGGTTCATGTATTTATGTGATGAAATGTCAGTGTGTGTGTGAGATTTCCAGCTCAGTTGTGTTCTTGTATCTCTGCCAAAGTGAATTCCTTCTGAAGCACATTTCTCCAAACCTCTCTCTCTCTCTCTCTCTCTCTCATGTAAACACACTATGCAGTAAAATACCAGATAGTTTCTGCACACTGTGGAGCTATGATTTTATTGCCAAAAGACAACCAAAGAATGAATAAACACTGGAGTTTGACGTTTTTAAAGATACATTCCAGGATTTTTCCATGGCTTCAGGGTTTTCAGCGATACTTTGAACACTGTTGTTTTGTGTGTAGGTGTGTGTGTGAACGTTATGATCTTCCTAGCCTCCTTTTCTCCAGTGTTTCCTTTCCTACAAATCAAATCACTAACATAGCACAACTCAAAAACACAAAAGTACTTGTGGCCTCATTTAACCTTTTTATCCTGATGTTAAAGCTTGTTTTAGACAACAGACTGCAGCCTAATAAAAACCTGGTGAATCGAGACCAGAGTATTTCCTGTAAATCTTCTCTGTAAAGGGAGCATTTAGTTCAGTCAGATGAAGCACATCTGTGTTCCATTTAACAATCACTCAGAGCGTCAGCTTCAATCCCAATCAATTCTCTTCTCTTAAGGTTTTCTCACAACAAAAACAACAACAACAACAACTATAAGCCATGACTTCTACTGATCTCCTCTCTGTATTGATCAGCCTGTTCAGCTGTTTTAACAGTCGCACAAAGTTTCTCTAACCTCAGCTCTGTTCTGTAAAGTAAGTTCAATCCTTCCACATCTCCTAAATCTTGTACATGTATTGTCCAGATGCTATCACTGGCTGCATTTCATTCATACTGAACTATTTACATCAGTTTTTTATTCCAAGAGGAAAGAGAAAGACATCAATCATGTCTTTGAAACTCTGGTGGTACATTAAAGTTATAGCCAGCTGAAAAGTGAACTCATTCTTACTGTCCTCTGTACAGGTTACATTATGTCAGTGAAGATGATGAATGCCTCCTATAGTTAAGAGTTAAAAAAAAGAAGCTTTTTTATGGGGCAGTGAAACTCTAAAGACAAAGTAAATATGTAGTGATACAAATGTGTGTGTTGTCTCACATTAAGGCATTTGCCTCCTCTTTTTAAATGGAGCATGTACACGTGTTATGTCATCTCTGACGTCACAGGGAGCCTGAGAAATAATGAGTTCTGTTTTTGGAACTCATCAGGAGGGTACGAAATCCATTTTTTTCCCCAGCAGCTCTCCTGTGCAGTGTGAGTGAACACTTCTGCTCTATAGTGAACCTGAGTTGCTGCTGTTTTCCTTTTCTCCTCATTAACCGCCCTGTTAATTTAAACAGAAAGCCCCGACATCCTTTCATCTTTTACGAGCTTTGTCTGAGCACACACATGTGTAGGCCATAGGGAAATAATGACTCTGGCTCAACACTAAAGAAGCTGCTGAATCAAAATGCCTCCATATTTTTTCTTGGTGTGTGTCTTTGTCACTCTTCCTGTGTCTTTGAAGACGGAAATAGGCAGAGATCCTCCTGCATCTGATTCTAATCAAAGTCAAATGTGTGTGCGCGTGCGTGCGTGCGCTGGTTGTGGAGTGCACAAAGTTACCATCTCCAACCAAATACTGGGGTTTTCTACTGCTGCAAATATCAGATATTCACGTAACGCTTTTTAAATGAAATTATTAAATAAGTGAAACAGATCTTTATCTTAATTTTGCATAGCCACCTAAAGTATGCCTCAATGTTCTCTCTTTTAAAAATAGAAATAAACCTCTTACATCTTGCCTTGACCTCTTCCAGAACAAATTCACATGTATGTTTTTGTCTTTGAGCTACTAATTAAAAGTCTTTATGTTTCGATATGAAGTAAATGTCTGTATGAGAGAAGGAGGATCAGGATGAGGCTTTAGAAAGCAACAGTATCCAAAAGCTTTTAACACAATGACTTACAAAAGGAAACAGTCTTTAGAAGAGGTCTGCTCAATTCTGAAGAAGAGAGCATGAGTGAGCAGAGGAGTTTAGGGAATAAAAAAAGTTAACAAATTTAAGCTCAAATGAAATTCTCAATAGAAAGTGGAGGTCCCTGGATAAGCAACATTAGAGCTGCTCACACCCAAAACACTGGGGGGCATCTGAGAACAAACAACCTAGCTGTTTGTTTGTGTGTGTGTGTGTGTTTCTGTTTTCTGGACACACACTTGCTCTGAATGCATTGTCCTTGTTGACTGTGGCTCAGTTGCATGTTTGAGTAGATGTAGCCTACAGTTGTGTTACTATGTGGGTGTGTCTGAGATTGTGCCTCTTATCTGTTACACACTTGTGTCTGTGTTTACACACCACATGTGGCTGTGTAAACTGAGCACATCCTGGTCATGTTAGCCTCCAGGAGCTGTGAGGAGACAGAAACCAAACTGTGTTTTTGACGTTTAGTTTGAAGTATTATTGCATGGTGAGTTAATGTTAAATCTGAAAACAGGACAGGACAAAGCTTTGTGTTGTGATATAGATTGGGACTCAGTCTTCATACTCCATTCGTAAACAAACAACACTTGTGTTGGTTTCAGGGAGGCCACCCGGATGACCATTTAGATTTCTTGATGTTTACATTGACTGTAATATCTATTGTTATATTCCAACATTCCCATTTTAAATTGATATACTCCTTATCTAAATCATTATTCCACATATGTGATCTAGACAAAAGGTGTCAACAGAATATGATTTCTTCAAACTCCTCTACTCAAAACTCTACAATCTAATATTTAAGGGCACTGTATGATGGCAGTGCTGTAAACATATCCTGTATTGGAGATAGAGCTGTACAGAGAATATCCAGACTAGCAGTAGAATGAATAAATGCAGAATAAGGTATATTTGACGCTTAACCAAAGTCAAATAAATCAAGACTTGTCGAAGTTTAAGTAAACTTTATTTTAAATCTGTTGATTATTTGTGGTAGGGGTCATGCCAAGGATACAAGACTGATTGTGGCTGTATTTATAATGATGTCTCATTACTATGAGTTTCAGGTGCTCCTGATTCCCAGACTCCCTCGGTCTCTTGTTGTGGCATTCTGGGGAGTCAGGGGGAGATTTGTATGCGTGTGTGTGTGTCTGTGTGTGTTTGTGTGTGTGTCTATGGCCTTAGTTTCTTGAAGGGGGTGTGCTGCAGAAAAGAGGTCTGAACAAAGAAAGGGGGCAGTATAATTGGCTTCACCGCTGCCAGACGACACAATGACACGGCCATTGATAGTGGAATGAGTTCCCGGGAGTAGTCGACCAATGGCAGAGCAGGAGTCTGTTTTTCACAGCCTCTGATTGGCTGGCAGAGTGAGGCTGTCGGTCTCCAGGTAGCAGAGTGAACCTAGGAGCATATTTGCCACCCCTCTGTCTCCTGGAGGAGGGAGGGAGTGGAAGAGGAGCTATGACCTCATCTGTAGAGAAAAGAAAACAATCGAATTACATGCACAACATTTATTGTCTCTTATATTTTCTATGTTTCCTTTTTCCTGAGTTTTCCTCATCAATTCCCTGTAAAATCTATTTTGTCCACCCAGAAGTTCTTTTCAGTGTGTGTTTGTGTGTACTGTTCCCTTGCTACCATTAGCATCCTCATTGCCAGGGCCCTGAAATAAATTTGTTTCATTTGTCTTTAACTTGGCTGTACACTCCACTGCTCCTCTCTCTTTCTCCCAGCCACCATTTCTGAGAATTAAAGCTGGGCTTCATTTGTTTAGATTGGCCATTTCTCAACTTTCCTGCTGTATCCGGACAGAAATACACACTGCTGTGACATTTAAACTCCAGAGAAACAGAGCGTGAGTGACTTCTGAGGAATGCAGATGAAAAAAGGACCCGTAACTGATGTTAAAGAATTGTGGCGCTCAGATATTTGAATATGTGCTGATTGTGTGTCTGTATATTTGTGTACTTGTTTGCATCCTTTTGAATTTGCCTCCACAGAATGCATAATTTCACACGCCTCTGTCTTGAAGTGTAAATGTGACTGCCTCTTTCATTCCCTGCATCGGTCTTCATATCTTGATATTATCCCTTTGATCGAATTACTTGGCTGCTTGTAAAACACTCTCCATGTGACACACAATTAGCAGGCAATTAACATGGGCCATCTAGTGTCAACCGATTGGCTGTGCCATCACACAACTGAGTGACATCTCCATCTTCACATTGCTGCTAGTATTGCCCTGAAACACCAGGGTGTAGAGATGAAGACACTGGCTGCCTGTCTCTTGCAGAAATCTGTGTCAGTCTGTCTATTTAATTTTCCATTTCTGTCTCGCCTTCTTTAAGCTCCTTCATCACTTTGCTTCTGATTATCTTTCCACCCAATCATCACATTTTTCTACCTCTTTGTTCTCTGTTTATAGCTTATATGTGTGTTTATTCATGTGGAAAATAGGGATAACAATTACATACGAATATGAGAAAACAGTCAGCATGTCCTTCATATCAATGTGAACTCATGTGAGTGTATGCACATGAGTGACTGTGCGTGTGTGTCTGAGTGCTTCAGAGCTGAAGACGTCCAACATAAAGAGACAACTTAAGATTTAAATCCTATTAAAAAACAGATGGGGCTTTGGTGAAGGGAAATGTGCATCTAGAGACAGGCCTCTATCTGTGTGTGGCCTTTTTAAGGAAATGTTTGATGGACATTTCCTTTATTAACAGGGGAGGCTGAAGAATTGAGTCCTGTTCTCATTTTATGCAATGATCTCCTCATTCTGTTTTTTTTTTCTTCTACTCTCCATCCCTGACCTCTTCAGGGACTCATTACTTTTAGAAGTTGCAAAGACGCAAACTAGCTTTTCCCCTGCAGTCGACCCACATGATGAAATTGCGAGAAACATCAGCTCTAGCATGCATTTCTGCACCCAAAGACCA